TGGGGGTTTAGGTTTTGGGGTTGAGGGGTTTAAGGTTTAGGGTTCAGGGGCTTGAGGTGTAGGGGTTTAGGGTTCAGGGGTTTTGAGGTTTAGGGTTTGGGGTTTGGGGTTTAGGCTTTACGATGACCTAGGCCAGCAGCGTCTCAGCAAAGTACCCACCAGCAAGGTATCTCATTAAAAAATGCAAGCTTTTCGTATTCTCACTCAGTTACCGGCGAAAACCCCGTCAATTCTAACAGCATACGAGTTCTTAGAAACTCTTCAGCTACAACATCAAACATATCATATTGTCATGCTGACACACAGAAAGCAGCTCATCGCTCGATCAACTCAAGTTTATAGTAAGTAAAGTAGGAGCCTAAATAATTAGCAATGCTGCTTTGGGGGCTCCTTCTTATCATTATAGCAAAATGGGCCCTTAAACATTATTCTAATTACCAGGGCCCCTCTATTAAACCAAGAGGCTAGTCACAGAGTAGGCGTTCTGAATTCTAAAGGCTAGCCCAGAGTAGGCCATGAGTAAAGCCAGCTATAAAAAGTTATGAAGACCTTATGAGGTTGTTGCCTTAAGCCCTAAACTATAGAACCCTAGCCCCTAAATCCTCGATATACGCCTCAAAGGAGCCCATAAAAGAGCCGTAGACAACTCAGAGGAGCGATACTACGCCATGTGGTATGTGGACTGGGACACCGTCAAGGCTGGTTTACGGTTTAAAGTTTAGGATTTAGAGTTTAGGGTTTAGGGTTCTGCATTTTAGAGTGTAGGTTAGGGTTGTACAGGTTAGGGTTAAGGGCTTAGGGTGTTGAGGGCTTCGGGTTCAGGGCAGAAGTGATGGATTGGGGGGGGGGGGGGCGCTTTTGAGTTTATAGGGTCTGTGAAACCCCAGAAGATACCCTAGACACGTGAACGGTGGGGGATTTCGGGGCTCGGGGTGTAGAGATTTGAGGCTTTTACGGCTGTTTTATGGATGAAATCTTGCATTGCCTGAAGGAGCCGCCCAAACTCCCCGACTATTCATGAAGTTGTGAAGGCCTTTCGTGAGAATATTCCCGTCTATAGTCCCTATATAGGTATGGTAGAATATGCACCCCAAACCTTGTTCCCCAGACCTGAATTGTAATCGTTTCAGCCTCTATGCCCTAAATCACTGACCCTCAACCCTAAGCCCTAGATCTCACGAAACTCCAGAACCCCAGAACCCTAAACTTCCCTAAACCCCTAAAGCGTAAACCCAAAAACCTCATTTAGAATCCTATAAGGTAATCACAAAAAGGAACTACTATGGGGCCTATGGGTATGCTTTAGAGCCTTTCGGGGTCTAGGGTTTACGGGTCAGTCGCATCACGCCTGACCCTAAACAAACCCTAAACCCTAAACCCTAAACCGTGTCTTCTCCATCGCCTAGTATTTCGTTTCTTGCAGCAAACGGGTTGCTTCAAGGGTTCCTACAAGGGTTAGTGGAAGAGGTTTTGGGGCTTGTTGGGGCTTTTTTGGGTTTTGATTCAAACTGTTTTGTTGTGTTTATAGGCCTTAATCGTTGCAACAAGGTAATCCACGATATCACAGGGGTCAGCAAAGGCTGAAATTAGGTTTAATACAGGGGGACAATCAGGAATTGATTTCAGGTATGTTGAAGTATGTTTAAAAGGGATGATGAGGGAATGGTCGAATGAATTACAGGCGCCTGTCTCAGTAGAGCAGGGTTTGAGGCATGCTGGCGCAGACTTACACCGGCAATATAAAGGGATCGTAATACTAATCATTCCGAGCTCTATATCGCCTTGACTCGGTCATATAGATCCCTAGAAATTATTCATCTCTAGAGACTGACGCCCTTGGGAGCAGGGTTCAGGATTATTGGTTTGGGTTTAGGGTTTAGGGTTTTAGGGTAAAGGATTAAGGGTTTGGGTTTCAGGCTTTGAAACAAAGATTGAACCCTGAAACACCACAGTTCGCGAAGGGCGAAGTCTTCGACAGCCGCGCCAGCGCTGAGCGCAAGTTCCGACAGTTCCTGGACGTCTACAAGGTCGTCTAGGGCTTGAAATTTAGAGTTTGTCGTTAAGCTCCGGGGTTGAGGGCTTTCGGATTTGATTAGTGGTTTCGGCTTGAGGGTTCAATTCTCCTCATGTGATACCCTAAACCCTGAACCCTAAGGCCTAAAACCCGAACCCTAGAACCTAAAACCGGAACCCTAAACTCCTTCAGTCGGATTGGTAAGGTTTCTGCAGAAGTTCTCAGGGCATTAACCACGATAATAGCCGATAGCAGTAGGCATGGTGCCAACACTTGTAGTTGTAAGACCAGGATGCAGACGAAGAGTAACAAGGAGAAGTAGTGGCACTTCTCCATGATTCCACAATCTGATTAATGTGGCGGCCTTAATAGTTAGAACAGGGTTTTATGGCCCATAGCACTATAATAGTACTATAGAGTGCTAATAAGGAACCCCCCCAAAATAGTATTGGTACTTATTTATTAGGCCCCTACATTAGCTTTATCAGCCCCCGAAGCTTGTTTCCACATGTTCGTTTTTTTTTGCTCTGGCCCCACTTTCCCACCGATTGGGGAAGGCGTTCTCATGTAGGGCTTGGGGTTTAGGGTTTAGGGTTCAGGGTTTAGGGTGGTGTGCCGCCTTTGGGGGGCCGTCCTTCATAAAAAGAGGCTCCATATATACTACCACTATGAATTATGGAAGTAGGCCACAAAAGGACATCCTTGTATGATTTGGGGACTTAATTTCATAGTCGTAGTATAGATAGACCCTTTGGGTACGGACCCTGCTAAATCTGGTTCGCTGTCCGCGGTCGGACGGGTACTGTGTTGGCAAAGGCACTCTCATTCCTGCTCGAGCAGTTGTGGCCATGCCTTCCAAAATGAGGAATATACCTTAAATCAGATGCGGGATCCTACTATAATTTAGTATCTGTTCCTTGATCAAGGGATGAACCCTAAATCATCCTAAACCCTAAACCCTGAACCCCTAAACCCTGATCCCTAAACCCTAAACCTAAACCTTGGGTGTCCGGCTGTGACTGCGCCTTGCGTCTTGTGGGGGGAGGTTGCGGCTTGGAACCGAGGCATCGGAGTGCGTAGGGTTTAGGGGTTTATGGTTGAGGCTTTAGGGGTTTAGGACTGAGGGTTTGAGGTTTGGGGGTTTAGGGGTGCGGAGTGCGAGGCGTCAGAGAACACTTCGTCAAGACATCTACGCACTTGTGCCGTTTGGGGTCTACCGATAGTCTCCATTGCAGTTCCTTTTGGGGATACCCTATAAAAATCCTTAATACAAAATTGGTTAAACCCAAAAAAGGAACTACAATGGAGACTATAGGTAGGGTTTAGGGTTTGGGTTTAGGGTTTAGGGTGGGTGAGTCTAGAGGTGTGTGCCCTGACCCTATTTTCTTTTCCGACTGTATGTGGGCCGCCCGCGGCGGGCAACTCTATGGCTCCAAACCGTAATGTAGAGGCATAGTAATTAATTACCAGTACTATTTTGGGTTGTCCTATCTGTTAATTGTAGCAAATTTGACCCCGAAACCCTGTGCCAACATGTTCTAACTATGAAGGATCTGTGTTATGGCCCTAAGCCGTAAGCCATGTAATCCGAGCAGTAAACCCTGAAGCCCCAAATCACGAATTGCACCGAGGGTCTGCAATTCCGGGTGCACGCGTATCTTCCGCTAGTCCTTATAGAATCATACTACAATATGCACCCGTGCCCATAACTAAATGTCGCTAGGTTCCGTAATAAGAGCGCAACTGGAGTTCTCAGGCAGAGTGTGACGGTTTCGGGTTTAGGGTTTAAAAATTTAGGGTTTAGGGTTTAGGGTTATTAATCATTGAAGCCGTCCTCCAGCTCCGCTCCTTACATGAATGTGCCTGCAGGCTGGGATGTCAGATCCCTTGCTGCAGTGCAAGCAAGGGTCGGTCCACCCTTTTTAAGCGCGTTCCTTACAGTTCGTGGGCCATTTCGGGGCTCCTACTTGGAGGTTCATGGGTAGTTATAAGTGGGGTTATAAGTAAGGTAACTATAATTATAACCCATATTAAGGGAC